CAGAGATTCAGGAGATGGAGAGAATAGTTATTTTATATCTTAGGAGAGTGGAAAGTAGAATCTCTCTCTCTTTCTTTCTCTCTCTCTCTCCCCTATAAAGGAAAAGGCAAGGGAATATGAGAATTTCAGCTGTATTATTCCTTTTATCAAACAATGGTCCAAAATAGAATGCTAGAATTACTGAGTAGCTAATATCAGTGAATACAATATTGAATTAATCACTGAAGTACAAAAACGATTCACTCGTAATTTGAGAGAATCAATACATATGTCAAAATAGAAAACCACAGATGAATACCGACCACAGATGATCTTGTTTAGTATCATCATAGAGCATACTACCGGAGTGAATGGGTTCCCTCCTTGCTCATTTTCACACTAGACAATCCATTTTAGTCTCTGAAGACCACCCAAGGCACTGGAATAATCACCCTCCCCTCTCTCTGCAGTCTCAGCTCTGGGATTGCATCAGCTCTGGCCTGCTAACTAGTTGCTATCCCCACGCATTGGCACTCTCATGGCTCTAGAAAAGTCCCTCTAAAATATAGACCTGATAGCAGCTGTTTTCTTGAGACCATGGGGGATCCTCTATCATGAGAGCTGAAGGCAGCATTCTCCCTGACTTCACCCCACAGTCCTCACTCTGTCTCCAGCAACACTACCACCCACATGTGGCCCCTACACTCTCCTCCTGCTTCACTACCTATGCCAACCTCACAACTGCCCCCTTTCCCACCCAGGCCGCCCGGGCACATGCCCCACAGAATTGGCCACGTGGGCTGTGTGTAAACTCCACCGCTCTGTTCCTCACTAGACTCCACTACATCCTCATAACTAAAGCATCCCATTTCCCAAAAGCTTTAACTGGCTCGAGTTTCACTATTAAGAAGAAATGGATCAAAATCCAGACTGTGTTATCTCACCGGGCTGGTCACCTGCACTGGAGGCTTGTTGCCAGAAGGCTACCCAATGGATAGTCCCTTAATGTGAGCCACAATAAAGAGACAGCTCGCCCTAATGGAGAAGGTGTATGGAGGGAGGTTCTAAATGTAACATGTAGGATTTCAACAAAAGATTGTTGCTTCATTTTTTTCTATTCCAATGAAAACTCCATTTTGGAGAGAATTGATACTGTTACCTCAAACTATAAAATGCATGTAATGCGTGTGACCCTTCACTTATGATTCAAGGCACAAGGACATGTTCTGAATACAGAGGCAGATGGGAAGTGTGGAGTAGAAGCAAAGATGCCCCGAGCTCACAAGGACAGGCTCATGGAAGCCTCGTCTGTCTTGGGTAGTCTTTGCTGCTCTCTTCTCCTGATCAGTCAAGAAAAACCCAAGGTACATGTGTAGATTTTTCATCCACCCACACATCCTGGAGTACAGTCCCTTCAGCATCAACAGAAGCCAGAAAACACCACAGGGCCAGCCCCCCACTGCTTTCTTTCATTATTTACTCTAATTACACAAGATGCTAGACCCCCTCTGGGAAGTTTCCATTTGTCAATGAACCCACATGTTATTCTAGTATCAGCAGAGGGAGCCCACGAGCTTCCTGTCCTTCTGAAGGATGACTGGCAAGTGCCAGTTTTTTTTTTTGTTGTTGTTGTTGTTGTTTTTATGGATAGTGGGGAGAGTGGGCTTTAGTCTCTCCAACCTGATGTCCAGAATTGGGAGGTGCTGGTTTCTGGGCTGTACGCAGAAGCAAATAAGAGCTGAGCCAACACTGGCAGCATTTTTCCAAAGATAAAGAACACTGCCATCTGGTGGGACACAGGACAGCCACAGCACTGTAGCTTCCAAATTAGTGTCCCCACTGGTCCCCAACACAGGGGATGAGCAGGAGCTGTCACCACCAGCTGGTCTGCCTTCCCAGCAGGCTGGTCTAATGCAGCTCGTAAGGCTTTGTTTTTGTAAAGCTGTCAGGAGGGACTTCTCAGATGGAGAAAGTCCAAGCCTAGTGAAAAAACCGACTGAAGTGGCGGGGGGGGGAGCCCCCATGACTGAAGTGGGAAGAGGGGACAGCCACAATGCCGGGGGGTGCCGTTCTGCGCTGCCCGGCAGGTGACTGGCAAACGAGATGGAAAAGACTTGACGATTCTCCTTTTCTCAGTTTAAACCCAAGCTCCTGAGTGCCCATGCCCATTTCTTGGCCTTCTCTCATACTCCGCACTAAATACACACGCTTGGTACACATTTGAGTGGGCAAATGAATGACAGACATTTTGATTCCTTTTCCCTTTTCTAGCAGTTCTTGGGCTCCCTCTGCTGGCATCTCTTCCATTAAGAAGGAGCAATTTTTGTTAAAGCTGCTCCCGTTCTACAGTGTCAGCTGTAGCCGTTGCTACTTCATCACAAGTGAAAAAAATTTTAGTACTGCTATGCAAATATCAAGATGCCAGATTATCTGATATTCAAAACAGCAGAAAGAACAATATAAATTATGTAAAAATCTAGGAGATCTAACACATCCTCTGTTTTAAATGTCACACAATTAGTTTGAATCACTTCAAAGAGCTAAATTTCTATCTCAGAGTCGTCAAACCATTTACTCTCTTTAAAGCCTAGCTAATCCCAATAACCCGAAATTTAAAAGCATAAACTTCTAATCTCTCGATAGTGTAAGTTACACGATACCATTACTAAGCCATTGCTTTCTAAAGCGCCAATTCAAAAACGCCAGAAAAAAATGATCAAATAAGGATTACTGAATTTCATCTTTTCCCCACTGACAGAAGAGTCTGCGTAATTAAATTAAGTGTGTAAGCTCCTTGGTAACTTCTATTTTTTCCAGCCCTCTGACTATTTCTCAAAGCAATTTCACTCTCTTTAATCTATGGCTTCCTTAATCAATCCTATTACATAGAATAAGGTTCACTCTTCAATAACCAAAATTCTGGGTTCCATTTAATCCCTTGTATAGGTTGCATAAGCAAAATTAACAGTGTAATTTCCTAATTTTTAAGACACGGTGTTAACATCAACTCGATACAAAACTGAACATCATGAGGCTTCTCATAGGTCAAGCTTCCCAAATGTAAGTCAGCACAGACCCTGACAAGGAGCACTTGTGGGAAGCCCTGATCAAGATGCAGAAGCAGTTAAGCGAGGCTTTCCCTTAGGTCCCCCGAGCCTTTTTAAACTGAGGGAAGATGTTCATCTTTATTACCTCTATTACGATATTGCTCAAAGAAAAGTAAATTAACATCTGCATGATGTGTAAGTGCTATAGGCAGACAAATGTTCCAACGTCAAAAGCAGTGAACACTGCCGACCAGTCAGAATGAATGGTTCCCGTGAAGGACAAAAGGGAAATCAGCGGCATGCCAGCCCTACCTCCCGCGTGTCCACTCGTGTGGCATTCATTTTCACGGGACAGGTCTCTGTGATACTCCCAAAGTACAAATGCCACTTCTCTCTCCCAAAAGAGAAAACAACTCTCCCAGAATTCTGCTGCTGCCCCCAGGGTCCCAAAAGGGTCAGAATAAGACATAATGGTGCCTGCAGGTAAGCAGTTCTCTATTGCTTATACTATCAAAACCATAAAGAAATGGTAACTTAAATGAAAACAAAATAGGCCATCTCTGATGTGGTAAAGAACATGGAGCCGGGAAGTAAACACAGCACCTGCACACTACATGGCAGGAGGCGAGCAGGACATGCTACACCCTGGGCATTTACCCTGGGGTAGGAAGTCTGCCCCCAGCGTGCTCCCCAGTGGAGAATGCACAATCTAAGACTGACTTCAGACATGCACTGTCCTTGGGCCACTCCCCACAGGATGGTCATAAAGGACAATGGCATCGCTTTCAGTGGTAAAGAATGAATGGCAGAGGACCAGCAGTTAGCATAATGGCTATGTTGCTGAACTCCCATGTAGTTGACCACGGTTCGAGTCCTGGACCCGATGTCTTAAACTCACACCGGGCGTGTGTGCATGTCCAAGATCCCGAGAGGAGAATGGAGGAGAAGGGATTGTGGTGTGGCCATCCCCCCTGGGGGGTGATTTCTCACTTTATCTCTCTCTCTCTCTCTCTCTCTCTCTCTCTCTGTCTTTCTGGCGAGCGCACATGCCGTATAGCAAAAACCTCTCCAAAAAAAAAAAGCGAATGGTAGCAGACTAAGAGGAGCTCACTACTGTACTGTCAGATGGAATGAGAACAGCACGTTGTCCTCAAAGTCACTACACACCCAAGTCCCTTCACCCTGCGTGCTATAAAACAAGATCAGAGGCAAAGACAGGAAGTACAGGTTCAGCCCAACTCACTGCGTTTCACCCTAAGTCAGGTTTTCAACTTCAGTATTGTCACTATTTGGAGCCAGACAATTCTTTGCTGAGGGCACTGGCCTGAACATTAATGAAGCAGAACTGGGACGGTGAGCTGCATCCCTCACTGTCACCCACTGGATGCCAGCAGCATCATCCCGACAGCCAGAAATGTTCCCAGATACTGCCAAAATAGTCTCCAGCTGAGAACCACAGCTGTAGATCACATTTAATTTCTGTTGGAATTATGTATATATATAACCAAAAAAATCTGTGTAAGATAAAATGAACTACTGATGAGAAAAAATTCCCAAAGTGAGACTACTAATAAAGAAGAGATGCCGAGGCCAGCAGATGGTGTAGCGATTAAGGCACTGGACGGCCACGTGGCCAACTGCAG